TCAAGGTGGGTGTGTTGAAAAATTTACATTGTTGCCAAACTTTTTGTAAAATAATAAAATTTATTATTTACATATCTAGGTTTATAAGCAATATTAACCTCAAATGAGAACAAAAATAATAGTATAATAAAATTATAGATCTGTACTTGCATAATCATTAAGTATGACAATTATTGATCAAATGACACTATGAAACTACCATATTTAATTGATAGCTTAAAGGTACTGAATAAAAATCCAAATGGGGTCCTCCAAATTTTATGCATGGTATTTATTTTACAGAATTCATACAGAAAAATGCATTCTAAAATTAGGTAAGCTACTGGTGTAAGCTTTTTCTGTACAATAAAGTTAGTCGGAGTTTCTTTCTTCAGCGCTGTCTGAATCTGAATCTTCATCACTCTCAAAGTTGATTATTAAAGGTTCGATGTCTGGTCGATCAAAAATTCGTTCTCTTTCATACCATTTAAAAATTTCTTGCTCAGTATGTCGAACACTATTTTTCCACATGTCTGGGGTAACCGTTTGTAGAGCCTCGTTCCACATAACCAAACAGTCTTTTTCACTGTTACCATCTCTACCAATATGTCTGTTATAGTAACCTTTTGCTATGCCCCAAATTAACTCAATAGGGTTAAATATACAATGGTAAGGAGGCAGACGAAGAACTTTGTGCCCATGTTGTTCCGCCAATTCATCAATCACGTATATTTTAGGTGGTTTGTTTCTAAAAAAGCAGTTATTTTAAGAATAGGAATAAACAAAAGAAATATAAACTGTCGACCAAAATATATATAATTAAGAAGCATTATGTACCGAGCAACAATACTCAATAGCTCTGTTTTAAACATTGTGTTTAAAAATGGTATGTTTTGATTTGTCAACCAGTCTTGGATATTTTTTTTTGACCATGCATTGTTGGGCACTTTGTTCAATATCATGCTGTGATAAGGGGCGTTATCCAGTATAATCATAGATGGACTCTCCAATTTTTCTAATAACTGATGTTGAAACCATTTCAAAAAATTGTCCTGGTTCATCTCTCCATGGTAATCGCTCAATTTTGTTTTCGAAGAAAATATCGCTTCACTACCCTCAATAAACCCATTTTCATTTTCAGCATGTAATATAATGTATCTAAAATATATTAGTTTTAAATTTTATAGTGCAAATTGTGTAAAAGTACATACCTTTTACCATCTGTTTTAATAGCTTTCACGCTTTTTTGGTTTCCATTTTGCCAAGAGCGACCTATGGTCCCATTTTGAAATATCCAAGTTTCATCGAGGAAGACAAACTGGTATAAGGCCTCAACCTTGGCTTGATTGTATTGCCTTAGAAATTCCACCCTTTTCAAAGCTATACTTGGTAGTTCCATGAGCCCTCGTCGCGTATTGTCCTTAAGCCACTTAAATCCAAGATCTCTAAGCAACCGCCTTGAAGACGTGGCACTACCATCAAATAATGCCCTATCTCTTAATCGAGACCATAAAGTTTGTATCGTAACTTGTTCTTCTGAAACCATGTGTAATATGACATTATAATTTAGTTAACAAATTAATGCAAATTTCTGATAAGTTATTATAATAAGATCTTACTTTTGTGATACATATTATAGATCACTTCTCGAATGGCACTTGTATCCAATGTCGCTGTGTTGGTTACACGTTTAATATAACTCCGCTTTTTCTTGGGCGATTCTAAATTTGCATCACTTTTCACACCCTCGGAAATACGACTAACTGTCCTTAAACTAATTTTTAAAGCAGCAGCAACACGCTACAAAAAATGAAATAAAATTTCACTATTATTAATATACATTACATATAATTATTAGTAACCTACCTCTTGAACAGCATTTAAAGGCAACAAAGGCCCGTTGTTGTCCCTTTCTTGCTCAAAGTAGTGCACTAACGAGGCCACGAGTTCCTTACACCGACTATTTAACTGTTTGGGCATCTTTATATACCAAAACTGCCTTTATCTACTCGCAAAATGAATAATTTTGTTTTGAAACAAACAGTTGTTGATTTACAGTATGCGGGACCTACCTCTTGAACAGCATTTAAAGGCAACAAAGGCCCGTTGTTGTCCCTTTCTTGCTCAAAGTAGTGCACTAACGAGGCCACGAGTTCCTTACACCGACTATTTAACTGTTTGGGCATCTTTATATACCAAAACTGCCTTTATCTACTCGCAAAATGAATAATTTTGTTTTGAAACAAACAGTTGTTGATTTACAGTATGCGGGACCTACCTCTTGAACAGCATTTAAAGGCAACAAAGGCCCGTTGTTGTCCCTTTCTTGCTCAAAGTAGTGCACTAACGAGGCCACGAGTTCCTTACACCGACTATTTAACTGTTTGGGCATCTTTATATACCAAAATTGCCTTTATCTACTCGCAAAATGAATAATTTTGTTTTGAAACAAACAGTTGTTGATTTACAGTATGCGGGACCTACCTCTTGAACAGCATTTAAAGGCAACAAAGGCCCGTTGTTGTCCCTTTCTTGCTCAAAGTAGTGCACTAACGACGCCACGAGTTCCTTACACCGACTATTTAACTGTTTGGGCATCTTTATATACCAAAATTGCCTTTATCTACTCGTAAAATGAATAATTTTGTTTTGAAACAAACAGTTGTTGATTTACAGTATGCGGGGCCAAAGGATTTATAAAGATTTGAAATGCCACAAATTGATTCAGTGTCAAAATTAATACAAATGTCAGTTCCCAGTTTAAATAAGTTTCAAGGTGACAATGTGACAACGCTGCGAAATCGGTTTAGTGCGTTTACATGTCGATAAGTGATTGGAGCGTTTGCAAAACATTTTATTTCACATAATGCGTCTAAATTTATCAGAAAGCAACTTATGTGATATTTTAATAACAATGTTTATATGACTATTAACCATAATAAGAGAGTAATGACCATTTTACAATTTATATATCACATTAATATGAAACTGCAATAGAGCAATTGTTTGTGATAGAAACCTAGGCATTAGGTCGGGGAATTTTTATCGTGATGACGTGCACGCCACTTTGTTTGGCGTTGACTATATATAAAAGTGTCACCGTTTTTGAAATATAGGTTATAAATCCCAAAACAGTCCTTATTTTATCATGGTTACTGAATATCTTGTAACTACATTACTTTTGTATATGATAAAGCAACTATCTAGAAGTATTTTATAGAAAAAATGAATAAAATGTAACCTTGTTTGCACATGCAGCTAAAGACCAGATGAAATGGTTCATTTTTTAAATTTAAGTAAAAATTCAATATCTCAAAAACGGTGACACTTTTATATAGGTAAGTTTTTGTTATTTGGGAGGTCAGACCAAAACCTACCTTCTCCTTCTCCTATATGCCAAAAATTATTAAAATCGGATAAACATACGAAGGTGTTTAACTTTTTTTTTGTCAATGTATTAATAAAAACAAAATACAACTATCTGATACTGTCGGTAGAATTGCCAAAAGCTGTTCAAGAGAACAGGTTGTTTACAAATTCATAAGACCGCTTGCATCAGGTAGACACAACACCAACAACCTGCAGCTATACAGTCATTGAGGGTTTTGAAAAAGGTCAGCAAGTGTCTTAAAAATCTATTGTGGGTACCACTTTACAATGTTACGAATGATTAAATTGATTGGTTAATAGAATTAGTATGTCCATACGTGGAAAAAGCATCCTTGGCGCCTTTTGTTATTGATTAATTGTTTGTCGATTGTTATTGGGCGCCTTTTGCGATTTGAGTACCGCCTCCACTTTCTGTTGCTACTTCCTTTGGTGAACATTATAAAGTTTAGGGGATTACGCATAGTCTTGATTATTAATCAGCTTGTAATTATGTAAGCTAATTAATAAATGTCGAATTACTACTGTGCATTAGCATATGTTATGCTGTATTTGGAGCTACCTATCGAACTTCCGCGATTCGATCAATAAATCCGAGACTTTTGTTTTTATTTCTCAGTACCAGTGGAATTAATATTTGGAAAATATTTAGTTTGTGAACCATTATGTTGTCATCAGATTTCAACGTCACCAGATTTTTCTGCAATTTAATGACGTTTTTTACAGGATGTCTAGAATATGTAAGTAATCCGCCGGGTTCATAAAGAAGTTCCAAGCGGCTCCTCAATGAAGATACAGACTCCTAAGGGTCGAAATATAATTGTTCCATCACTTGATGTCATCGGCCTGACAGGACATTTGTCAAATATTGAAGAGTGTGTTCTTTTTCAATCGCGAACTGCCTCAAGGCTTCTTTATTTCGCTACTTTTCTCAAGGTTGTTATTAATATAGGGAACAAATTCCACAACAGAGAAATGTCTATTATTCTTCTATTAATTTGAGATTAATACTCTAGTTCGTCAAGTACGCTCTAGTACTAATTTTAAACATTTTTCTCAGCCTAGGCGTTGAAACTTTGGGAAGTCCTTAAGTTGAAAAACCGTAGTCTTGCTTTTATTCGATATGAGCCGTTGTAAAAAAGCAGCCGTGTTTTAGAACCGGTTCTACCGATTTTCGCTATATGTAAAAATGCCCACTTCATGGATGTCGAGAATACATTTGCCAACTCAATGATCAAATTTTATGCATGATACACTTAAATTAGCAATTTTGCAATAGTCTAGCCGGTCAAGTATGACGATGATAAGTGCATTCAGGTTAAACTTAAAACAGTCCAACGTTCCAGCAGTTTCATGTTGTATCGCAGTTCTCTTAATCAACAAGCTATCAAATATGCAGCCAAGTAAAAACTGATACCGACTGACCAAGCTATTACGGTTATTACGAATAAAATCGTTGTAGCGCTGGACTGCTGAATGTACAGTGCCCATGTTCTGGACAGTGTTTTAGAATATGATCATCATATTTGTTGATCCGCAAGTTAGGCGGGTTCAATACATTCATAATGTTCACCAAGACAAAAGCAACGTTAGTCCACCTCCGCTGTTACCAAGTGTTACAGGCTTCTCGTTACCTGATAAGTACACAGAACTTCTTTTTCGATGATTGGCGATGAGTTTCTCGGCATCATTTTGAGGCCGTTATGCTTCAGTACACGTCTAAACTTCATAAATATATCAACCTCTGTATATGCTTATGAACACGTGCGCTAGCAACGCTTTCCAATGTCGCGTGCTGATATCTGATACCAACTGGTGGTAGCGGCTACAGCAGCTGTGTGGATTGTGGTCGGTCTGATCTCGATGGAAACTGTGTAGAAATAAAAAGAAACAAACGTGTGTATATTTTACAGTAAATAATATGTGAGGGTTAGTATTGAATGAAGTTACGTGAAAAAATCTTTTATAAAACGAAGCTACCTGGTGTCACTTAGAAAATACGGCAGAGTAATTATCATCATAGCAAATTATCAACAATTTACTGACCAGTTTGTTGCAGCTGCATATAGTAGTGACCGTCAAGTCGTCCAGTTAGTTAACACAAAAGCGATTGACTTCAATAAAATTGTTAAAGATCAAGAACGCCCTGTACAATTATCGTATCATTAGATGAAGTGACATCGACTTTCTGTACAAACCACTTGGTTTTGTCATACTAAAAATCGCTTTGACCTCGCTGAACTTACGAGTATTATATCAAGTGACTTGTAATTTTATCAGGTCTGTAGAATACAACACGCAACCATATTTTTTCCAGACTAATTTAATTTGTTCAGTGAAAACTGCTTTAAAAAACTAATGCGGTTGAGGACGCGAGATGTTCTTTTTTGTTTCGAAAATGCACGGTTTCGTATCGGGCGTTTTTACTATTCGATTGTAAAGGAGTATTTTTTTGAGTTTATGCTAGTGCATACTATAGTTACATTCAGTGATTCCCAAAAAGTCCCTCTCGTCCTACGTATTGGAAGGATCTATCTAAATAAATAAAGTATAAGCATTCTTACAAAAAAAAAACAACCTGACAAAATCCTCCTACTCTTTTTGAACTGGATGAGCAATACAGTATTGCACATTCAGATAGACAAAAAAGATTGATATGACAGTATAGCGTTGTGATGTTAAGTTATTAAGCGATTCAATGTATCAAAACTGTCAAACTTGTCAGCCCACCAGTCCGCCATCTGAATATTTTTATCAGCCTTTTTTACGTTGAAATATGAAATAAAAAAGAAGAAACACTTCTTCTAGTTTTCGATGTTCATTAGAATGAAAATTTGGACAATCTGCTGAGCAGTGGCGGCCGGTGGCTGTGAGAAATGGGGGGCTATTGTAGGGAAGGGTGGCCTGCCGCAGTCACCGCCGGAGGCAAAGAATTTTTACGGTGCCACGCCCAAAAACTTCCATTTTGAGCCTTCAAATTCAAATATACATTTTTAGAGCTATAATTTTTTTTGCATTTTTTATGTCCTGATTTTGTGGATGGATCAGTTGGCAATCCTATACCTATATATTTTATGTACAGTCCTCTGTATAGGAACAAACATATTTTAGGTACGAGAACTTATCGCAAAAGAAAGCAGCATCTAATATGAAAGCAACAGAGCATCTATTATCAAAAGAACAACAGTACTCAAAAGTATAGTTTTTCACTTTCTTACAACACATGTAACTATAAATAACTGGAAAAGAGAACAGAAATACGGTATACCTAAGTGTATTATTGTATTATAAACGACTAAGTATACCTACCTACAGCTAGAGCAAACATTGTGTTTCAACTGTCACACTTCACACTTCTATTTATTACAAAATATTTTTTAATGTTTATATGTAAAGTCTAATCTTCTGTCTTTCTGTGAAATAAAATGTTCCATCACTTTTTCGTCGAAATTGCTGATATTATGTACCAGATTCTTATTAACAGACATCATTGCCAATGCATTCAGTCGTTCATTGCCCATCGAGTTTCTTAAAAACGATTTTATCCTCTTAAGGGTTGAGAAACAGCGCTCTGCTTCGGAAGTTGACATGGGAGTAGTTATAATTATTTGCAACAACTTAGTTACTTCGCTAAAAGTTTCCTCTAGGTTGTTATTAGTCAATAGGGACAGCAAATTCAAACCACCTGTAATATTTTTGAAGTCTTCCCTCATGTACATTACTTCTAATTCGGTTTTCAGTTTTTCTTTATTTACCATTGGATAATAAGTCACAACTGAATTCAGTATTTTTGCTGGAAAATATCTCGAATAGTTTGTGAAGTTTTGTGTATCTAATAAAGATGCAGCTTCTAGATGACCCCTGTAAGAAAGTCTCTCTTTTGTCTGTACAATTATTATATCGCAAACTTCTTTTGCAATAATACAATTTCTTTCTTCGGGTCCTACTTTTCTGCGTTTATTTCCATTGTCTCCATGCTCATTTTCAACAGTTTGCTGTATATCCTCTGTAGTGTCCCTAATCAATACAATGGCCTTCTCCAATACGTCAATATCTTTTAAAAGTTGTACACTGTCTTTATTCCTACTTTGAAACTGGTTAAACAAAATAGCTACGTGCGGTAGGGTTTTGTGAAAAAAAGTCAAAAAAAAGATGAAATCAGAATCTTCGAGTGCTCTTCTTAAACCGTATGCCTCCTTACTAGTAATTGTTTTATCACATTTATTCTCTAACTCCCGGAAACAATCAATAAGACTTTCACGGTTCTCAAAAACGGCACTGACTGTGCGAATGTTATAATTCCACCGTGTTGGCGCAACCTTTGGCATTTTGGTTTTAACTATTTTTTCCAATAAATCGCATCTGTGCGTGGAGTTGGAGAAGAAACTTGGAATTGCCGACAGGTTTGAAAAAAACACTTTTACTTTTGGATTTTGGCTGGCTGCTCTCTGCATAATTAAGTTCAGTTGGTGAGCGTAACAGTGTATAAAATGAGCGTTCTGATATTTTTGTTTGAACTCCACCACTGCTACCGCTCATTACGTTTGCACCATCATAAGTTTGCGCAATTAATTTGTTGGGTGAATCTTTTAATAATGGGCCTAGTTCTTCTTCGATACACTTTGCCAAACCTTCAGCTGTCTTGTCCGTAACGCTCAAAAAACGCCAAAATCTTTCTTGTATTTCACCTTCATGGAGATATCTAAATATCATTACCATTTGACAATGATGTGAAATATCTGTTGTTTCGTCGCACTGTATAGCTAAAAACTCTGCTGCATTAATTTGCTGTCGAATTTCTTGTTGGCAGACTTCCAACATACTATCTAGTATTTCATTTTGTACTGTTTTAGAAGTACCCTTAAACAGAGTCGCACTTTTTAAATGTTCCTTTAATATTGTATCCAATTCGGACGTAAAATTAATCAACTCTCGAAAAATGCCACGATTTTCAGAGTCTTCACTTTCGTCGTGCCCTCTTAACGCTAATTCCAATTTACCGCAAAACTTTATACAGTTTATTATTCTTTTTAAAAGATATCTATTTTTGTCCACTTGCTCGTTGTGCTTAATAATATTTTGCCTGTAAGCGGAATCTAACTGAGCAGCGATACTAGCTGTTCCCAATAAAGCTAATTCTGTCGAACAAATCATGTGACGAGCCGAATTTTCATGCTTACTAATTTTCTGGTTTATATGCTTTAAATCTTTAAATCCAGTTCTTGTCCATGTCTTTTCCGCTGCATCTGAATAAAACAGTAAGCACGGAAAACAAAACAGGGCGTTTAATGTGCCACAACCGCATATCCATTTGTTTTTGTTATAGATATCTTTCTTAAAATGTCTCTTAAAACAACCAGCTTTCGTCGATTTGTCAGCCTGAGTAAGGTTGATATTTGGAATCGGCCTTCCAAGGGATTTTATTATTATTTTTTCAGCAAGCGGAAGCCGAGAAAATTCACCTTTTAACAAATTTTGTACTTCATTTGCCATTTTAAACTTTTTGAACGCCCGAACAACGGCACGGGGACGCGACGAAGCGATTTCGTACACACGTAAATCGGGACTGGCTAAAAATTATTTCGCCAACTCGCGTGTTAAAATCCCGTATAAAACTCGTAAGCGCGTGGGAGGTATGACGTAGCGAGCCACTCAATCAGGTCGGCGATCGCGGCAAAAATTATTCTAGCCTCGAATCGATAGGGAATCTAGCTCGCGACTTCGGGGTATTGGGATCGGATAATATATATATATGTTAGCGGCGCCGCTGTGGCTACCCATAATTCCTCTCAAAAGGGTGAAATGATATCGTTATCTTCTGCGACGGAAGGAGAAGCACGAGGGGTCCGGGGACGACTACTACCTGCGATCCCTCGCAGGTAGTAGCGAAGATGACGACAGTCACGTACCTACAGCCAAACAAATTGTGCCTAAATACGGAGTAAATGGTAGCACTCGGAATAAAGTATTGATTGGGGATAGACGTGTATTTTTTTTGGGGTAAAAGCCAAATCAAATCTACCCCGTTTTCTTACATCAGAAGTGGGATTACATCCGTGCCGCATTTTCCACTTTATATTGGACAAAAAAAAAGGGAACAATGTCGGAAGAAAACAGTCCTCGTCGCGAAAGTGTCGAAGTCGCGTGTAGTGCCGAAGTGGATACCGAGAAAGTGGCTATGTCTCCGCCAACTCCTAAACGGCGGAAAGTTGAGTGGCAGGAGACATTGATGAACTTAGTGGCTGCACAACAGCAACAGAAAATCTCTGACCGTCAAAATAAGGAAAAAAATATAAATTAAAATAAGAGTGGTGTTGTCACTTTCAGATAAGGTCTGGCTTTTAGTGGAATTGCAACAGAAAATTTCTGATTGTGTACAAAGTACTGATGAAATTTAATTGAAAATGTTTTGACACATTCAAATTAGGTCTGACATTTGGCAGCATCTAATTGTGTATAAAAGATGAAAATAAAAATGATACAGATGTTTGTATTATTTTTGAGGATTGTTACGATCAGATAAGGTCTGGCTTTTGACAGCAACAGAAAATGTCTGGCTGTGAATAGCAACAGAAAATTTCTGATCGTGTGAAAATAATGTTTTGACACATTCAAATTAGGTCTGACATTTGGCAACATCTAATTGTGTATAAAAGATGAAAATAAAAATGATACAGATGTTTGTATTATTTTTGAGGATTGTTACGATCAGATAAGGTCTGGCTTTTGACAGCAACAGAAAATGTCTGGCTGTGAATAGCAACAGAAAATTTCTGATCGTGTGAAAAGAAAAGTAATAAAATGAGTTCTAAAAAAAAAATGGTGATAATAATTATGGAAATATGTCACATTTAGATGAGGTCTGGCATTTAACGGCACCAGAAAAACCTGGATGTTAAACGCTGTTACTGCATAAAAAAAATAATATTATGTCTGGTCTCAATTGAGATCGATTGTGAGATAATACAATTGTCATGCACAAATTTTGGCTTGGTGTTTGTTATTCCAGGTGTGGTGCGTGGACGCTCCACTTATCTCGGATGGCCGTGTTAGCGGCGCCGCTGTGGCTACCCATAATTCCTCTCAAAAGGGTGAAATGATATCGTTATCTTCTGCGACGGAAGGAGAAGCACGAGGGGTCCGGGGACGACTACTACCTGTGATCCCTCGCAGGTAGTAGCGAAGATGACGACAGTCACGTACCTACAGCCAAACAAATTGTGCCTAAATACGGAGTAAATGGTAGCACTCGGAATAAAGTATTGATTGGGGATAGACGTGTATTTTTTTTGGGGTAAAAGCCAAATCAAATCTACCCCGTTTTCTTACATATATATATATATATATATATATATATATATATATATATATATATATATATATTGCGTGTTGCGTAACTGGCTACTATTAAAATTCAGGTTTTGATTGAATTTTCGTATATATCTGGAAATTATTTAATCACAAAATCATATTTTAAATTTTTTGTTAATTCGCATTTTGTCTTGGGGGGCTGTAGCCTTTTCGCCCCTATGGACCGGCCGCCACTGCTGCTGAGACAAATTGCTGATGTTCAGCGAGCAAAGCATATTTGCGTAGGCAGGGACAGGCGACAATCGAGTGTTCATGTTTGTTTTGATGCGGAATTAATGAGATTCGAATGGTATAGTAAAAATTGATATTGCAGGCAGAGACTGATAATGAAAATATTGTTAAAAACAATTCAATGACAAAAAGGTCCCATTCGACCTAAAGGTTGCTGGAAATACTTCGAAATGCAAAGATTACTTTACAGTATAACCATAAGATATTCAAAGTTCATGTCTGCCAGACGACTTCAGAACATGAAATAGAAATAAAAGCTATTATACAATTTTCTACTACACGAAAGATGTTAAAGTTAAAATTCCTAGAAGCGTATAACCAGGTTTATTACAAAGAATGCCACAGGCCTTCTAGGATACAGTGCTTCAGTCTCAGTTATCACTAAAAAGTAATTTATGCTGGATCCACTGAAGTAAAGGGTGTCCCAAAATTAACGCAAGATTTGAATTTGCCGCCATTTGTGCAGTGAAGTGTTGACAACCCTGAAAAAAAGCAATTTGACAGCTAACAGTATAGGGTTATGAAAAATGGAGCGTTACACGATAGAACAACGTGTCTTCATTATTAAAGAATATTTCAAAAATAGTGAAAGCTTGGCGGCTGCAGTTCGAAAATTTCATACAAAATATGGCCGGAATAGTGTTTTAACTTCGTCAACTGTGAAGAGATTAATTGAAAAATTCATGGAGACTGGATCCGTTGGAGACGCCAAACACACTGGTCGTCCAAAAACAAGCCGTTCAAATGTGAATATCGAAGCAGTGCGTGAGAGTGTTGCGGACAATCCAGGAACCTCAATTCGACGTCGTGGACAAGAATTGCAAATGTCAAGAACCTCTCTACAGCGTATACTCACCAAAGATCTGTGTCTTCATGCTTACAAACTTCAATTAACACAACAATTGAAGCTTAATGACCATGCAGAGAGAAGAGAGTTTGTTGAATGGATTATTGAACATCAACAAATGGACCCTGATTTTTCAAGCAAAATCATCCTAAGCGATGAAGCACATTTTCATCTTGATGGCTTTGTCAATCGCCAAAATTGCCGCATTTTAGAGCTGTCACGAACCGTATGTATTCGTTACTGAGTAACGAATAGTAGGAAAGATTCGAAGTACCGAATCGTTACTTTCATAAACATATCGTTACTCGCATGTTTGAAACAGTACCAAAAGACTTATTCGAAAAAATATGTTTATGAAGATATTAAACTTGTTAAAGTGAATCAACTCACATAAAAATATCAAATAAAAGCTAAGTGATTGCAGGAATATAATAAGATTTAAAATAATGCACAGCATACAGTACTTCAGTAACGATTTGAATTACGCGGTTATCGCTATCAGCAAGCATCGATGTTATACGCAACCAATACATCACCAAAGTGACCGAAGGTTTGCTATGCGGTCTGGCGGGCTGCTAGACGTACGTATCCTGTATTATATGGGAATATGGGTGACGCATGACGGTTCGGATGTCGTATGTCGTTACTTTCGTATGTTTCGTATGTGATGTGATCTGCTCGAACCGACTTGTGTTTGTTTATGCTGTTGTTGCTCTGTTTGTTGCCACTTGATAGAGTTGTTTGATGGTGAATTCCTTTAAATTTTAAATAGGTAAGTTTTAAATATGTGATATTTATTTTAATAGGATTTGAGGGAGGAATTAGGAGCGTAAATGAAATCTATAAAATAAAATATGAGTACCCACTTAAAAACCTAATATAAATTATAGTGATTTTTTGTATTATTGTGGAATGACCGTAACCGTGTAAGCAACGAATATATATAACAAATCTTTTAAAATCGGGGAGAATTGAATACTTAGATAAATGTACATAATTATGTAGTAAACTGACGGACGATGTTCCTAGTTTGATACGTATTTTTTATGTTGTTTCAGTACTTGCTGTTAAAAGTCTCGACTTCATGGAGGGGAAAAGAAGTAAGATTTGGCAGTTTTTTAGCAAAGAAACAGAAAATAAGGCGAAGTGTGATATATGCCAATGTTCGTATTCGATCAAAGGGGGTTCAACAACAAACTTAAAAAAACATTTAATGACAAAACATCGACCGTCCTATGATAGCGTATTCTCGTTAAAACCTTCAACATGTATATCTAACCAGCCTAGTCAACAACCTGTTAATTTACCAGAATGTTCGCAATTTCAAGCTTCTTCAAATGAACCTAAAAGAAAGAAAGAAGCTCAGCAAACCGACATCGCATTATTTACTAGAAAACCTCTAAGTGCAGCACGAGAGAAAAAAATTAATCATTTGATTTTGAAATTAATAATTAAGGATCTGCAACCTTTCTCTATAGTGGAAGATTCAGGTTTTATTGAGTTAATCAATTATCTTGAACCAAATTATCCAATTCCTTCGCGATATATGCTTAGTAGTGGTTTGCTGGATGCGCAATTCACGTTGGTGAAAGAAAAATTAAAAGACGAGTTGAAACGTGCATCACATATATGTTTAACGACAGACGGATGGACGTCTCGTGCTACAACTTCTTATCAGGCAGTAACAGCACATTACATTTTAGGAGATATTTGGGAAATGCGTTCCGCCCTCTTGGGTTGTTTCGAATGTCAAGAGCGACATACGGCCGATTATATAAAACAGGAGTTGATACATCTTGTGACTGATTGGGAGATCAATGACAAAATATTTGTTTGCGTAACAGACAATGCATCAAATATGAAGGCTGCTATTCGGCTGACAGGGTGGGAACATTTTCCATGTGTTGCCCACACTTACAACCTAATAGTTCAGGCAAGCCTTCAGACAATACAAGAACCTATCAAAAAAGTAAAATGCATTGTTGAATATTTTCATAGGAGCTCTATTGCCACAAAAAAGCTATATGCAGTGCAAGAACAATTAAAACCTGGACAAAAACCCCTGAAACTTATAATGGACGTTATAACTCGTTGGAATAGCACGTTAGATATGTTAGAAAGAGTTGCAAATCTACAAGAGCCTATAGAAGCTGCAATAGGTTTCTTGCATAATCCAGTTGAAAACCTATCAGAAAACGAATGGCGGATTCTTCCAGAAGTTGTAAAAATATTAAAACCATTCAAACAACTTACTGAGGAATTTTCGTCTGAAAACGAAGTGACTATTTCAAAAATTTTGGCAGGAAATTCCAGCGTCTTACGAATACTCAATAACTTGAATAACACCCTGACATGTGATTTGTCCAAACAATTAGTCTCTAAACTGAAAGCCGAATTTAATATCAGGTTCAAAAATAGCTCGCGACACCAAGTTCTATCAAAATCTGCGATTTTGGACCCTAGGTTTAAGAGACAAGCTTTTGCTGACGATTCATGCTATGAGTATGCAAAAAATTCTGTGAGAGAAGAATTGGAAAGGATGATGGCAAAACCATCGTTTGTGAATGAATCCGAAAGCGAAGATACAGATTCTCCTATGTTTGACGAGCAACAAGACTCTATTTGGCTAGAGTTTGATAGAAGAACAACAACCATGAGTACTACAGCATCAAAGACATCTGCCAGTATAATTACCTTTAGGCATTATATGGAAGAGAAGCTTTTATTTAGAAAAGAAAATCCACTTAAATGGTGGCACGCGCGAACACTTTTATATCCAGAATTGTCTAATTTAGCACAAAAATACTTATGTGTGATGGCTACATCGGTGCCATCGGAAAGAATTTTTTCCAAGTCGGGGCAAATATTATCAGAAAAACGTGCCTCGTTGAAACCGAAACGCCTTGAAAAAATTCTCTTTTTACATATGAACCAAAGACTATTGGTATACAAGTTTCTAGTTCATTTTGTGATAACCAAGATAGGTAGTTTTGTTTAATATTTTTTGGATTTCTTTTTATATTTTTTATTTTTGTTTTTTGTTCAAGAATGCGTTTTTATTTGTATGTTATTTTAAATGATCTATGTTATGTTATAAATCATAAATTTAAAAAAAAATTCTTTATTCATATTGCAGTTACATTTCTTTTCCTTTCCCAACTTATTTACAACTACATCAACATTCATTGTAATTTAGTTATGGTATGAATGTGCTGACGATTACCACGCACACATATACAACCGGTATTTAAATTGGTTCTATATTATTCTAGCAACCAAGTAACGAAAGTAACGAGTAACGAATATTTGTAACGAGTAGTCAATCTAAAAGTAACGAGTACATACGGGTAGCGAACAAATCGTTACTTTTACAGGCCTACCGCATTTGGGGTTCGGAGAACCCACGTGTCATTGTCGAAAAAGAAATGCACCCACAACGCGTGACTGTCTGGTGTGGATTTTGGGCTGGAGGCATAATTGGGCCATATTTTTTTGAAAATGATGCTGGTCAAGCAGTGACTGTTACTGGTGCTCGATGTCGCGACATGATTACACAGTTCTTTCTGCCAAAATTGAATGATATTGATGTACCCAATATGTGGTTTCAACAAGACGGTGGCAGTCTCAATCTAATGGCCACGAGTCGCTTTTAAATATTTTATGGATACATAAATCCAGATTCAATGAATAAAAAGCAAACCATCTATCTACATAGTTTCTAAAACGTATGCAACATGCGTAAACAAATCTGTAAAAGGAAAATCTAAACAACAGTGCGCATTCGAGCAAATAAATGTATGTGTGTGAAGGATTCTCTCATACAATAAAACAAAAAACATAAATAATAGCTATTTATCGTCATTACAGCTTATAATAACTCACGTGTAGCGCTGTTATGTCTATGTTTGTATGAAATCATTACGTTCGTCACAAACGATGCATTTGAATGACATAGTAACGCCTTTTATAGTATTTCCTGCGTCAATGAATCCATCTACTAACTCTCTCTTAAACTGATTGCTTTATAGCTTTCCGTCTCTGTGCCTTCCTCCAACAAATCTATGGATTTCCATAATCCGAATGTTTGTCTAGATAGCACGCCATATATGGTAAGAGACAAAATAACACGCGTAAAGTCCTTTTCTAGAGACAAGTGCTAGTAATAATAATGGGAGGAAGAACCTGGTCACATTTGGCCCTTTTTGCCGACTAAATTACAATGCAACCAGTATTGAAACTTGATATCTCAATTTTTTGATGTTAGTATACTAAGTGACATATAAATCCGAACACCCAGTTTAAATGGTTTTATTTTAATAAAATTTTGTATACGTACTTAATGAAGCATAATAAGTAAATGATAAAAATTTCAAAATGATTGCACTGCTTTAAAGCCCTTTGACCTTTAATAATGTGTGGATGCACCCTGATGTGCTACGCATTCTCCAACGCGCCTGGGCATGCTTCTGATCAGGTGGTCAATGTCCTCCTGTGGTATCTCATTCCAGGCAACCACCAACTCCTCTCGAAGTGCTTCTAGAGTCTGAGGAGGACGTTGCAAATTGAGCAATCTCCTCTACCCATCATATCCCACACGTGCTCAATTGGGGATAAGTCGGGAGATCTTGGTGGCCATGGTAACAATGTGACATCATTATGTTGAAAGAAGTCTATTGTGACTCTTGCAACATGTGGTCGGGCATTATCTTGTTGGAAAGTTGGATCTGCCAGGGTGTCAAGATAGGGTAAAAGATGGGATTCTAGAACTTCGTGGATATAACGCTGCACGTTCATGTTACCTCTGATGAAGATTAAAGGTGACCTGGAACCATAAGCTATAGCACCCCAAACCATAACTCTAACAGTGTGATGAACATGTCTTTCAACAAAAAACTGTGGATTCCTCCTTTCACCACGTCGCCTTCTGACCCTGGCACGACCATCGTGCATGCCTAAACAAAATCGAGACTCGTCACTAAAGACAATACTGTTTCATTCCTGATCCCAGAGTGACCGTTGTCTGCACCACTCAAGGCGATTACGTCGGTGTTCTCGAGTTAAAGGGAGGACCCAGTGCGGCCGGTATGAAAACAAGCCAAAACTTCTCATTCGTCGGTAAACACTTCGCATGCCAATAGGTCTTCCGTGTTCTGCAAACCATTCATTTGCACTGGACCTGGTAGTGGAGCAACGGTCCCTTAAGGCCAATAATCTTAGGCGGCGATCTTCACGGTCTGTTATTCTACGGCGGCGTCCTGTGCCCCTTGCTCTTTGCGTACGGCCTTCTCGAAGCCATGCCTGACAACACCTAACCACAGTGTCTACACTTCTTTGCACTCTAACTGCAATTGCCCGAAAAGAAAGTCCAGCTTCCCGAAGTCCCACTATACGACCCCTATCAAACTCACTAAGTTGACGAAATCGTACAGGTCTCCGTACTCTAGGCATCGTAACCGATCGTAAAGGATGTCAAGAACCAAAATCCGCCAACGTTGATTCTTTACTGCGGCTGAAATATTCATTTTTAGAGCGTTAGTGAATTAAAAAAAAACAGTATAAAAACCGGAATGTCCAACTGATAAGGCTGAAAATTTTTTCACTTGTTATTTACAGTAAGATAAATACATTCACCAACTTTTATTAAAATAAAACCATTTAAACTGGGTGTTCGGATTTATATGTCACTTAGTATATATTTATACGTCCCAACCTTATTATTCTACAAATCTATTAGGCATATTTCACACAACATAGGTTTTCCTGTATATTTGTCTTTAAAACTGATTGATAGAGAAATGCTACGTGCCCGGCGTAACGGTCTGCTTAAGTCTTGACGCCATTTTTTTCTCTATTTTCTCCGCAGGTGTCTTCTCGACAATAAAATAGGATGCCTGAATCAGGTCTGACTGGTATCAAGAGACATTACTTATACGCGTTAAATAAAAAGTGATAACATAATCCAATATCCATGTGACTGCAACATAACGCTATTCAGGCTCTGGTGACTTTCACAGACCATCGCCAGTCTGTCTGCTCGAAACTCAATCGCGACTATCGAGGAGACCACGCACTGCAGACCGTGGCGTATACACATACATACTTAATATGCCCACATTCCTTCAGAGTGTGACGCATATTTTTGCGTTTTCCACGTATGATACCTACGTGAAAAATAGCCAATCGCAAGGCCATCGCGACAGAAACTTGATATTGACGTGGGTGTTGTGTGCCACCAGTCATTATAAGATGCTCTTGCACGCATATACATAATGCAAAGCCCCATACTATTCACTTTTTGAACGGATTAACTTAGGAAACAAACATTTTGAGGATGAAATAAGCACATGAATGTGTACTATATTTTAGCGTAAAACAGTTTAAAATATCAAGATATCGGCTGGGTGTCATTTTGGATCATTTTTTTTAACTTCCCACGCCTACTGTCGGAGAATAATTGTAATCGCGAAATTTTTGTAAAATGAGATATTATGTTTTTTGGATGCCTGTCTGTCGGTCTGTCCGCTAATCTTATAATCCTATAACTTGAAAAGTATCGATTTCGATGAAATTTTTACACAATGTAACCACGATGCCAAGGACGCAAGAGCTTTGTAGTTTTTGAAAATCCCTCGAGTTACGTGATACTTCATTGTGTAGCTCGTTATATCCAAGTACTTTATACTCCAAGAGTATAAATCACCGTTTTTCAAAATGTCAAAATTGAACATTTTTGTACACTGAATAGCTTGTAACAACAATTAATCATCAGAAGTAATATGTTACATCAGTATTTTGTGCAATAAATTGATGAATGACATTTTTTTTAAATAGAATGTTCCATTTTTCTTACATATTGGGATAAACCTTTCAAGAGACGAAGATTGATATACATACTAGCGTTTACTCAACTTACAAAAATACTCAACTTGTACAGTCTGTCAGTTCGCCAATTCAAAAGGTAGGATATTCTACGACCATAAAGTACTCATAAGGAGCTTGAAAATGAGGTATCACGCAAAATCCTTTCCATTTAAAATTCTCCTAAATGACACCCAGCCGCCATCTTGAAATTTTCAAATGATAGTTTTACGCTAACATAGTTTTGATGTATAAATTCCATTACCCCAAATTTCAGTTTGCTGAATTGATATGTTCAAAAAATAAGTAGTGCTTTTTGAAAAGCGCTGAATGTATGTATAATGTATGATAAATGTTACATAATTAAGATGAGCTTTGAAATTTGCACAGTTAGACATATCATCCATATATTACTTTTCATATTCATATGTCAATTAATATTAAAATATGCATACCAAGCTTGATTCGACATTTTCAGTATCGATACTAAAGAAACTATGGTTGACATAAATTATTGTGTCTTCTGACACGTGCTGGTATCTGACAGTTTTTATTGAAACTAAAAGTAGCCTATGATAGCAGCCGTGGTGCCCCGCTACAAAAAAAGGAAAATATTAATTAAGAATGGTGGAAATATATTTTGCTGAGCGCTCTGCTACGAAGTCATTTAGAGTTGTTAAAATTTACTCTCATCGCTCGAGGAAAATTTCCAACAACCCGCAAATCAGAACTGATTTCAAAAATATTATCCGAACTGCTAAACGACTGTAATATGGGAATATTTATAACAAAAACAATTTACTGTTCTGCTATGAAATTTAAAAACCTGTATACAATTCACTACTT